AGGAAAAGGAGCAAAGGATTCATTGGATAGTATATCAAGAACTTATTCTGAATCACTAAATTTTAATTTAACAAATCTAAAAGTCTTTTTATTGCATTCGCATGGTTAGTAAAATTTTAATTTTCAGAAAGATTCTATTTATTTAAAATTTAAATATAATTTTTATTTAGAGACAAAGTTGGAATTTTTAGTTTTCGATAAAAAATATTCACCAATGTTCCGAATGAGAAGATTAGCAATTATTGAAATCCCTTTTAAGGATAGAGTATACATAGATCATTTATCATATGATCTGCATAGCAAATTTTTTTTGTATAACAAATTACATAGTAAATACAAATCTAATGGGTAATTACCTGTTTTAGAAATATTTTTACTATGTTTTTTTTTGTATAACCCTGGCAAATTTAAGAAATCTCTGGGAACTTTACGACATATGTATGTCTATTTTTTAAAAATAATATAGCACCCAAAAGTTTTACTACTATAAATAGAAAGTTTGATTTGTATATTACAAAATTTTGATAAAATTTAACCATGGTTTTGAGAACTTTTACTAGTGACGTATTTTAATTTATGCATAAAATCCCGTTGTATCACTGAGATCATATGATAAATAATCGATATACACTCTACCCTTAAGAAGGGATTGGATTTATTAGAATTAATTAAAGTTGTGCATACCTTTAAATATCTCATAGAGGAAACTGTAGAAAACATAAAATTTTTTAAAAAAGCAAAAAACTACATGAATTATAATATAAATGAAGAAAATAAAGAGGATGAAGATGATGAAGGAAGTGAAAATTATGAAAGTGAAGATAATAAAAGTAATGATGAAACAAGTAAAAGTTATATAAATGAAAATAACAAAGATGAAGATAAAGAAAATGCATTTGATAAATTAGAGAATGTAACTAGCAGAAGTAGTTTGGATAGTTATAATATCCCAACGTTTAATATACCAATTTTACAAAAAAAGAAAAAAAAGACGAACAACATCTAATTTATGATTTTATTTTGTTAAATTTCATGCCATTTAGAAGTAGATATCAAAATTTAATAAAGTATTTATTGTTGTTCTAATAAAGATTCTTTCATAGATAGATTAATTTAAAATATTAAAATTTTAATTTTACAATAATGCTATTAAGAACCAGCTTTAATTTTAAACCCCTACAGCCCCATGGCCATAGGAGTCAATTTAGGTTTTATTCTGATAAAGTCTCATATTCAATTAACAATAAATAATGAGTTAAAAGCTGTTTTAATCTTGCCGAATTACATATCGATATCGATATTAACATTATAGCCCTGGAATACGAAAATATTTATTTTTAGATAAAATGAGTATAAGCCAAGAAGATTTTAAACAAGATGCACAATATTATTTATTTAAAGTTTACATGACTTTTAGAGGGTCTTGCTTTGGGAGTTTATACCAGTTTATATATTGTTATGGTATTTTTATTTTATTTTAAAATCATATTAGCACGTATTATTTTTGACTTTTTATTTTTAAATTAGTCACTATTGCTATAGTTGAATTCGTATTTATATTTGCATTTTTTATTTTGGTATTTATTTGTCAACATTGGTTGGTTTTCTTATTTAAATTAAAATGTTTGACTCGTGC